GATCAGCTGTTAAAAAATCATTGCTTTGCGATGATCGGTAAGCGAAACAGGATACTGATCATCGCAAAGTGATTTTCCCCATTTAAAACATCACAATGTGATCACTTCTGCGATCGCAAAATCTTCATCGCTATGCGATTTCGTCGTTAAACAGGGCACCCGTTAAGTGAGGCACCACTGTATATGAAAAAATGACATAACAAAAGGTGATAAACTGCCTTGTGCAAAATATGTTTTGTAATTTCGACAGTTAAACCACATTTATAATTTTCATGTCTTTGATTCCAAAAAAAGATTCTGTTTCTAAAATAAAACTGTCAGGCTGACAGTACCTGTCCTGCCCTCATTTAAACATTTTTCTTTCCATTTAAGAAGATGTTTAACCAGATTCAAACAGAATAGACTCTCCAGGATTATATAACAGATCTGTTTTTACCTTACACTGTAGGACAGATGTTCACTTAGAATGACAATAAACTGAATAGCTTTATAATTATACCCAGTGATTTCTTTATATATTCAATGTGTTTCATTAACTGATGAAGCACCCTTTTCAAAAATGTTTAGAAAACATAAACACTTTCTATATTGTATTCTCGAAGGCTTTCGTGGCCAGGACCCAATGACACCAGAACACAGAGTTCTAACTCCTGTCCTCTGAAGATGCTGGCCACAGAGAGTGGTGAAACATTAAGAAAAACCTCGAGAACATGGCCAATCAGCCCAAAAAACCCACAACTTCCTATGTTGCTGAATTCTGACATACTGTATGTTCATCATGGGTTATCTCAAGCTGAAAGATTCAAAAGCAGAAGTCTGAAGTAGAGCAAGCAGCATGAACAGCTCTGATACCCAGCCAAAGAGTAAAAGACAGATTTGATCCTTAATATGTGTAACAGGTGTATGCAGTACAGGGGCTTCCTACTGAGCAGTTTCAGAAGTACATTTGTCATAAAGGAACATCGTAATACAGTATTATACTTCTTCCTCTTCTTTTCATGTACAGTATATTCTTTTCATTATATACTGTACTTTCACACCTTGCCTGAATGAACTTATGGTCAGAACCTGTTTCAGAATTGGAATTAACAGTTTGTTCCTGGTTACATGGTTTGAGAGTTAGCATAATCCAGGAAGGAATAGAGGGAACCATGGCTTCTGGATGAAGGACAAAAGCAACCAGACAGGCACATGTTGGCCTGAATGTCCTTCAAGGCTTGTTCCCCAACCCCATAAACCTGCATTGGCACTCCATCCAAACTGGCCTGTGGTCTGCCAATTCAAGCCTCATAGGCCCTGACAGGGCAAGACGGTGATGTGGCTTAACTATTTCAGCACTTAATCTTACATGAGAACCACATAGGCAGCAGAGTCCATCCGAACACACTCCCTTCTAATGAGAAGGAGAAAGGTGGGGATGACTAGCACCTAACATCTCTGGCTTGTTTAACTAGTTTAGTTAACTATGCAGTCCCTTGTCTTTTCAGTTCATTTTATAATAGCCATGCCCTTTATCCTTATTCAGATGACAGTGAAGACTACTAGATCATGTTTGTTCATCTCATGAAGGGAAGCATCAGCTTGTTATTAAGGTTCTTAAAAGCTAGAAGAGCATACCCAGC